GGCTTGAGCCTGGGAGGTGGAGGCTGCAGTGAGATCACACCACTGCACTACAGAATGAGACGCTGTCACAAACAAAAAACATACAAAAAAAAAAAAAACCACACAGAAACATCATTAATAAAAACAAAAAAAAAAAAAAAAAAAAAAAAAAAAAAAAAAAAAAAAAAAAAAAAAAAAAAAAAAAAAAAAAAAGGAATCAGGAATCCTTGGAGAAATGGCTGATCCCAAGGCTGGGACACAATAAGCATAAAATAAGCCTACAATATTTTGTTAAGCTAGAAAGTAAGAAATGTTCCTGTCCCAACCCCAAAGAAAGAAAGCTGCATGTCCCTGAGCCTACCTGAAGGTCTCCTCAAAATATGGAAAAATTTACCACCAAAATAATAAAGTTCAGTAATGAATCATAAACCAATAGAAGAAAAAAATGGAAATTCATGGATCCATACTGATAATTAACTGATTGATTAATGGAAACAGAGGAATGTTGAGGGTCAACTGAAAAATGTGTGCGGGACTGGAGTTAGAAAAAAATCATTTTTCAACTCTTATGATAAAGACTGCATCAAGCAAAAATCATCAGTGGATTACTAAATCGAGAGGTAAATTTTGATAGGAGTGGGATATTTGCATGGTGTTCAAGTGTCACTCCTCAGACTGCTTATTATCTGTAAGGGAGAAAAAAAGACAGTAATTAAACAGTAAGGAAATCAGAATCCAACTAGCCCAGATGGTCAAAATTAACATCACCAGTGAGGGACTGATGAATAGTTGGTAACTCTAGAAGTGGTGCTATGAAAGGGACACATCATCATCTGCACAGTATGATAACATGAACCCATACCCTCAAATTAATCACTAGGAAACATCAGACAAATCCACTATAAGGAATGTTCTATTATAAAGGCAGGGAAAGAGAGGCCCTGTGTTAAAACTGCTACTGTCATAAAAAAGTAAAGACTGGAAATGGGAAGTCCTACCCAGAGCAACTGGGCAAGAGAGAAATAAAGGATATCCAAATTAGAAAGGAGGAAGTCAAACTGTCCCTGTTTACAGATGATATGATCTTGTATAGAGAAAAAACTAAACACTGGCAAAATTCAGCAAAGTTGCAAGATATAAAACCAATATACAAAAATATTGCATGTCTATACACAAACAACAAACTAGCTGAAAAAGAAATCAAGAAGGAAACCCCATTCGCTATACCTTAAAAAAAAATACCTAGGAATAAATTTAACCAAGGAAGTGAAAGACTTCTACAAGGAAATCTACAGAACAGTGATGAAAGAAATTGAAGAAGATACAAACAATGCAAAGATATTCCATGTTCATCGATTAGAAGAATTAATCATTTTTTAAAAATGGCCATACTATCCAAAGCAATCTACAGACTCAATGCAATCCCTAATAAAATACCAATGACCTTCTTCACAGGAACAGGAAAAAAAAAATCCTGCAATCTGTATAGAACCATAAAATACTCCAAAAAGCAAAAGCAATCCTGAACAAAAATAAAGCTGGCAGAAGCACACTACTAAATTTCAAAATATACTACACAGCTGTAATATCCAAGACTGCATGGTACCTGGCATAAAAACAGAAACACAGAGAAATGGAATAGAATAGATAACCTAGAAATTAATCCATGTATCTATAGCTAACCAATTTTTGAACAAAATGCCAAGAACATTCACTGGGGAAAGGACACCCTCTTCAATAAATGGTGCTGAGAAAACTGGATGTTCATATGGAGAAAAACAAAACAAAAACTCCCAACTCAAAATGGTCTTTGATCCATACAAAAATAATCTCAAAATGGGTCAAAGACCTAAATGTAAGACCCCAAACCATAAAACTACTAGGAAAAAACATACGACAAATGCTTCAGGACATTGGTCTGGGAAAAGATTTTATGAAGACCTCAAAAGCACAATAACCAAATGGAATCCTATCAAACAAAAGTTTCTGCACAGCAAAGGAAATAATCAACATAGTGAAAAGACAACCTGCAAAATGGGAGAAAATATTTGCAAACTATTCATCAGACAGGGGACTAACATCTAGAATACACAAAGGAACTCAAACATCTCAAAAGCCAAAAAAAAGAAAAAAAAAAAAAAAAAAATCTGATTTAAAAATAGACAAATCATCTGAACAGACATTTCTCAAAATAAGATACACATATGGCCAACATACAAATTTTTAAAATGTGGGACACATCATTAATCATCAGAGAAATGCAAATCAAAACCACAATGAGTTATTATCTCACTTCAGGACAGCTATTACCACAAAGACAAAAAATAACAAATGCTGGTGAAGATGTTGAGAAAAGAGAACTCACACACTGTGGTTGGGTATGTAAACTAGTACAGCCACTATGGGGAACAGTATGGTAGTTCCTCAAAATACTATTAATACAAATACATCTACCATATGATCCAGCAATCCCACTAATGGGCATTTATCCAAAGAAAAGGGAATCTGAATATTGAAGTGACATCTGTACCCCCATGTTTATTTCAGTGCTATTCACAAAAGACAATCTTAATGTCAAGTTCAACCTAGGTGTCCAACAACAGATAATAGTTAAAGAAAATGTGGTATATATACAAAATGGAATGATATTCAGCCATTAAAAAACGTAATCCTGTCAACATGTAGCAACATGAATGGAAATGGAAGACATTTTATGTTAAGTGGAATAAGCCAGCAAGAGAAAGTTAAACACTGCAGGCTCTCACTCATATGCAGAAGCTAAAAAAGTCGATTCCAAGGCTGGGCATGGTGGCTCACGCCTGTAATCCCAACACTTTTGAGGCACTGTGGGTAGATCACTTGAGTTCAGCGGTTTGAGACCAACCTGGCCAACATGGTGAAACCTCATCTGTACAAAAAATACAAAAATTAGCCCGGCGTGGTGGCAGACACCTGTAGTCCCAGCTACTCACTACTGAGGAGGCTAAGGCAGGAGAATCGCTTGAACCTCTAGGAGTCGGAGGCTACAGCGACCTAAGATCATGCCACTGCACTCCAGCCTGTGTAACAGAGTGAGACTGTCTCAAAAAAATCACAAATAAACAAAAATAAAAAAGTTGATCTCACGGAAGTAAAAAGCAAAACAGAGGATTCTAGTAGCTGGTAAAGGTAAGGGAAGGACAGGAAGAGATTTATTAAAGGATACAAAATTTCTGCTTGGTTGGAGGAGTAAGTTCTATTATTAGGATGACTACAGATAACAATAAAATATAGTTTCAAATAGGAGGAAGATAGTCAAAGTTCCCAACACAAAGAAATCGTGTTTGAGATGAGCATGCTAATTACTTACCCTGATCTGAGCACCATGTTATATGTATCAAATCACTATGTACCTTATAAATATGTACAATTATTATGCACCAATTAAAAAAAATTTTTTTAAGACTGGAAATGTTTCCAATTAAAGAGCCAAAACAAACATGATGATTAAATGCAGTAGTTGGATCTTGTACTGGAGGGGGAAAATATGTTATAAAGCACATTTTTATGTCAACTAACAAAACTGGAATACGGTTGGTAGATTTTTTTTAAGTATTGTATCGATGTAAATTTATGAAGTTAATAGCTATCCTGAGATTATGAAAGAAAATATCTGCCGGGCATGGTGGCTCACACCTGTAATCCCAGCACTTTGGGAGGCCAAGGCAGGCAGATCACGAGGTCAAGAGATTGAGACCATCCTGGCCAACATGGTGAAACCCCATCTCTACTAAAAAATACAAAAATTAGTTGGACATGGTGGCCCGCGCCTGTAGTCCCAGCTACTTGGGAGGCTGAGGCAGGAGCACTGCTTGAACCCGGGAGGCGGAGGTTGCAGTGAGGCAAGCTCGCGCCATTGCACTCCAGCCTGGCACCTGGCAACAGGGCAAGACTCTGTCTCAAAAAAAAAAAAAAAAAAAAAAAAAAAAAAAAAAAAAAAAAAAAAAAAAAAAAAAAAGAAAGAAAAAGAAAATATCCTTATTTGAAGTATTCAGGGTAAAAGGCCAGAATGTATCTAACTTATGCTCGAATGGTTCAAGGAAAACAAAGATGTACTTATGTGTCTATATACAGTTATCTATACAAAGAGGAATCACAAATAATAAAGCAAATGGGAATTGCAAATGATAAAGCAAATGGGAAAAAAAATTAATCAGTAAATTTAAACAGAGGGTATAACACGTATCATTTTTAGATTTTCAACTTTTTTAAATGTTTGAAGTCATTTCTGAATAAAACGTTAACTTAAAATGCCATTGGCTTTGGCCAGGTATGGTGGCTTCCACCTGTAACCCCAGAACTCTGGGAGGCCAAGGCGGGCGAATCACTTCAGGCCAGGAATTCAAGCCCAGTCTGGCCAACATGGTGAAACCCTCTACTAAAAATACAAAAATCAGCTGGGCATGATGGCACATGCCTGTATTCCCAGCTACTCAGAAGCTGAGGTTGGAGGATCCCTTGACCCTGGGAGGACGGCTTGAGCCTGGGAGGTGGAGGCTGCAGTGAGATCACACCACTGCACTACAGAATGAGACGCTGTCACAAACAAAAAACATACAAAAAAAAAAAATCAGTTGGTTTTAACACAAAAGACATCCAAATGATACCATGGTGTTTTTTTTTTTTTTAAATCCGCTTAATTCTAGTCATAGAAAATTTAGCAACTAATATATGATAAAACCTTCTCTAGCACAGAATGATTTTTAAGTTTAGCTCTGAATACACCTAAATGTTTCTTTGCACTTAGTCACATATGGCCAATCTGCAAATCCATCTAAGCATCTAGCTGCAAGTGAATCGATCTACCTACTAACCATAATATCATATCCAACAAAACAAGATCTGGAAGACTTTTAAAATCATATTTATATAAACTAACAGGTCTATTCATTCTGTTTACTCACATCTGCTATCTAAAACTTTCACACAATCATTTATTCCATGAAAAACATCCCTAGGGAGAGTCAGCCTCTCTCCTCCCTTAGTATGTGGTGGTAGTCTCCCACTAGCAATCATTACACACCCATATCCTTAAACTGTCATTCCTATGCCAAACTGAGACTTTCATGCATCATCTGAAAAAATATTTCAACTGTCACATGGTGGTAGTGCTGCCTGTCAGTTAACTCTTCTTTTCAGAAGTTTTGCCATCTTGGCCTATATACAGAATAAATTTGGAATATTTTATCTTACAGCCTTGTAAGTGGAAAACCAAAAAACTAAAGTGCCAATAATAATCATAATATATTGGGTACTGAAAGCGTAATGTAGCTACAGATTTCTTTAAAGAACGTGCATGAAATACTGGACCTAGATCATTAAAAACTCCCTCTCAATTATGAGGTACTAAAAGAGAAAACAGTACATGTTGATAGACTGAAAAAAAAATCAGCATTTATATTCCAATAGTAAAAATACAGTTTGTCACAAATTTCTCTATAAACGGAGAGGGGGAGAAGACCAGAATTCATTAGTTTCTTGACAAACTTTACTCCCCCAAATTAATAAAGCACTAACATCTGCATCATAACACCTTATTCATCTCTCTTACAAAATCAATCTTTCTTCCCAAAACTAACACTGATTTCTGCCTACAAAATGCCATTTTAAGAAAACAAGAACAGGAAAGGCCTGGAGGTTCACACCCGAATCCTAGCACTTCGGTGGGAGGAATCTGAGACCAGCCTGGGCAACAAGGCAAGATCTCCACTCTATAAAAATAATTAGCCAGGTATGGTGGCAAAAGCCCATGGTCCCAGCTACTTGGGAAGCTGGAGACCACCTGAGCCTGGGAGGTCAAGGCTGCAGTGAGCCATAACTGCACCACTGCACTTCAGCCTGGGTGACACAGCAAGAACCTATCTCAAGAAAGGAAAAGAAGAACGAATGAGATAATAAATGTCCTGAGGAAATTAATATTTATAATACCTTTAATGTTTAAATGCATATACATTAATAAACAAGAGTCAGAATTTTTTTTAAAAACACACTTAAGTATTTCATAATTAGAGATGGCATAAAACTTTCAAGTCATCCAATAATAGAGGTTCTCTTATGTTTTATCAGACCACTGCTGCATTTTGGCACATTTGACTTCAGTACACTTAAACCTCGCTTTCAGGAAGATAGATAGGTAAGTGCCTAACCTTACTATAACATAGATCACAATGTTTACATATGTCCTTAAGAGTGTGTCTATTATCAGCTGGCTGTAAGTAGCATAAAGGCAAAACTCTTAGTCTCATCTTTTTCCCTGCTCCCCCCAAAAAAATCTTGTATAGTCCTTGATATAAGCATGTTAAAGCAACTACTCACCTGCTTTTAACAGATGCCTGTTATATAATTAAGTCAAGAAAATTATTAAGTTGCAAGGACTTGAGCTAATTCACCCTTCCTTTTAAAGAAAAGGAAACTGACATCTAGAGAAACAAAGTGATTGCCAGTGGTATAGTGAAGACTAAACACTCAGGTCACCTATATTGTTTTTATTATCGCAACACTGGGTTTCTTTCCCACAACTTTTGTAGAATACATATATTGAGTGTATCTAAATAATTCTCTATTCCTTAGTGAGTTGCTATGATAGTTAATATCAAAAAGGTTAAGTCAAAAAGGCAGGAAATAACAGTTTTCTCAGAGAAAGGAGATAAACAAACATATTCTAAAAGAGAATGACCATGCATTGCTTATACTTTCTTCCACCATCCCCATTAAGCTTTCAGGTGTAATGCCCCCTTTTCTTCCCTTACTTCTAAACTATTAGGCTATAGATTCCCCAGGTTTAACAAAAACAATCCAAGAAACAGGTGACTCCTGAAATACTGAAATTTCTGAGAGCCACCATCTGCTAGAGGCCTGCTAGCTAAGTTTTCGGAGGGAGCACTGGGGCTGATGGAGACTTCAAAGGCATTGCTACACTGCTCACTCCTTGCCCTTCACCCATAGACATCACCATGCTGCTCTGCGCTTCTGAGACCCTTCTTTCTACTGTTCCCTCCTAAACCATTTTACTATGCTGTTTGATACCGCCACTCCACTGTGAACCAGCTCTTCTAACCCTCAACTTCTTTACTGAACATTCTTGTCTTTACCTCACCTGCATAAAAACCGGGCTCTTTCTTGAGGATACTGCTTTCCCTGTGGAACTTGCTACATGGAGGCTAAATCGTTGTCTCATACTCTACACACCTAAGATAGGAGGAAGGTCAGTACCCTCTGCTCACCAATGCTGCTTCCAGACTTCTATTTCAGAGGCCTTGGGCAAAAGTCTTGGTTATTCTGCTATATCATTCTCTATCCTTCCTCATTGCTTCTATCTACCATCCTGCCAGTCACCTCACTGCTCTTTACCGAAGACTCTTGCCCTATTCTTCCTCTCCACCCCTAGTCCTGCCATCATACTGGGTGACTTCAATGTTAGGCAGAAGTGCAATCCCGTATCACAGCCTCATAGTTTACTTGACGTCACCTCTAGCAATCCTAAGCTGACTACACAGTAGGCCTTTGCCTCATGGTCTAACACTGGCCATTAAAATCAACCTGAACTGCTATTCCTCTGAAATTCTGAATTCAACATCGAACATCAAACATCGAAAACACACACACACACACACACACTCCTCTGCTCTCCAACACGTGCATTCTTTCTCTCTCTCCCCCTTACTTTGACCACAATCTCCTATCATTCTGGCATTTATTTATTCTTACTACTCTTGGTTCTTAAACCTAATTTGGGTCTTGAATTCACTGACCATCTACTCTCCTCCTACCTGTCCTGCCTTTTTCTATTCACATCCTTCAACTCAGATGCCACAGTCCATCACTTCAAATTACTCTCTTGCTATCAGCCTCAGCTTTCTTGACTTACTGTCCTACCACAGGGCCCACATACCAAAACACATCCTTGAATCAATACAATCATTTGTTTTCTCTGAACCCATACCTAGGCTGCTAGGCACGGTCAAAGAAAAGTCACCCTAACATTTAGACCACCTTTCAACCTTGATCAGACTCCTAATACAATGCCTTTGGTTTCCCTAGTAAGAGGTATTGCAGACATCTTCTAGCCAAGCATGATCCAGTTCATTCCTAGCAAACATACTGCTTTAAAGAATAAACATAAACCATCAAAGAATTCCCTCAACTTTCAGTCACAAAACTCTAATAGTATCAATGCCCATACTTTACTTTCCATTCCCTAAAATCAAAGTTGTGTCCTTCCCTCTAACACTTCTCTTCCACCTGAACTAGGGAGCTCATCCCTATCCCCTTCTGACTTTCTTTTTTTTTTTTTTTGAGACGGAGTTTCGCTCTTGTTACCCAGGCTGGAGTGCAATGGCGCAATCTCGGCTCACCGCAACCTCCGCCTCCTGGGTTCAGGCAATTCTCCTGCCTCAGCCTCCTGAGTAGCTGGGATTACAGGCACGCGCCACCATGGCCAGCTAATTTTTTGTATTTTTAGTAGAGACGGGGTTTCACCGTGTTGACCAGGATGGTCTCGATCTCTTGACCCTTGACCTCATGATCCACCCGCCTCGGCCTCCCAAAGTGCTGGGATTACAGGCATGAGCCACCGCGCCCGGCTCCCTTCTGACTTTCTGCCAGCGCCTGTGATCAGATTTTCCCCTTCCTATCTTTAAAAAAAAAGAAGCCCTTCCTCCATTGCATATTCTTCCTCCTGCTTGCTAACATTTTAATTTTCCTCCCACAAAAAAACTCAAACTTCTTAAGAGTAGTCAACATTTAATATCCATTTGCTCAAGTCTCACTCACTCCTCAATCCTAGCCATGCCTACTCACACCACACCATTTGCTGCTGTCCTGCCAACACCTTCCCTCCTTTTTGACCAACTTGCAATCTTTAACTGTCCTCTCTAGTATTTGATAATTTTGACCATTTCTTCCACCTTTAAGTAGTCCTCTTCTCTTGGTTCTCCCTAGTTGGTATCTGGGGCTTTAATTTCTATCTCTGAGCCCATGACAGAAACATACAGCCAAGATCTCTCTCAAGAGCTTCCTATGTATAATGTCCATAACTTACTGGCTATCTTAGAGGATGTACATCAATACCAACATATTCAAAACTGAATTTGTTTCTTCCCCTCTTTTTTGATCTTTTTTTTTAAAGAAGTTCTTACTTGGCTCTGATATCTTCCCCTCTTAAACCTACTTTAATCTCTCATGTTCCTATCTCAGTTTCTCATACTGCCATCCATACATGCGCACATGCCAGGAAACCAGCGTTCCTGGGGTCATCTTTACCTCTTCCCCTCATCCTTTATGTCCCTATCTATCAAACACCAAGTTCTATGTATCTGTGCTCATCCACTGCCTCAATGTTCATAATCTCCTCTTTCTTAGATTACAGCAACTGGTTTACCACTGTGCTACCCAACTCAAATACATAGTATATTCAGCAAATTCACCATAATCATCATTTTATAAATCACAGCTAAATCAGAATGCTAATAAAAAGCACACGCACAAATCACTTTATGCAAATCAGTTACATGGAAAATGGATACTCAAAAGAAAAAAGAATACATTTCAAAATAATTGATAATAGCATAACTCAGTTTCTACTCTTCAACAAAATGTCTACACTCACTATGCCTAACTTTACGCCTACCACTGGAAAATTACACAATATTGAAATACTTAAAACATGCTATAAAAATGTTCTTTAAAAATTAAATATGAAATAATTTCTGGGGTAACAAAAACACATCTGAAAATATTTTAATATCTCTTGCTCTTCATGTTACCAAGAAACACAAGGAATAAAAGAAAGAAATAGGTACTAAAGTCAAGTCTAATAAACAAAAATAGTTTCTATTAATAATTCCATAGTACAAAATAAAAGTGACCAACGAATTTAACTGTGTGAAAAGTTAAGGTTGAATGCTGAGTGCAAGTGAGTTAGAAAAAGCACTAACACCTTTAAATGAGATAGTGGAGAAGACTTCTTATCAATGTGACTAATGAACATAATCTAAAACACAAAATATAGTGGAATGTTCCGTAAATCAAAAGGTGGCATGAAAGCACAAAACTGTGTATAGATTGGATTACCTGAAGTTTTACTCAGCTCTGCTGAAAATATAGCAGATGGTGATCTGTCCTCTTTTTCTGTATCAGAAGGAAGTTTTTTCTCAGCTTCTTTCACAAGAACTTTCGGTTTAGCTATGCTGCCTATCTCTGCTTGAGTGGCTAAAGCAGAAACATCTGGAGGCAATAAAAGCACCTTTGACATAGCAGACCCATTTTTGGAAAAGTCATCTGAGAAACTGATTTTCTCTTCAACTTTGGGTTGTACATTCTTGAAAGAAAGGTCATGGGGCAATTCTGTGCAAGGCAATGACCCAGCTTCATCCTGGGCATTAGCAATTTCACTTTTGTGGGATACTTCTAGGTCAGTATATTCCCTGGCTAATTTAGATAATGAATCAGTTTTAGAACTGATCAATGTAGGGAACTCATCTATAATTTCAATTGGAGATGAATCTGAAAATGTTTCAGTTTCTCTCATTTGTGCTTCCTTAGAAATAAATAAGTCATCATTTGAAGAAACTGCAGTACTGAGCTCCTCCATCTGCAAAGGAATTTTCTCCTTTTTGTTCAATGTTGAAACTTCATCAGGTAATAGCATATCTTTTGTGGTATCTAAATTGAGCTTAAAAGATTCCAAATATGGCTTTCCTCCCTCAGGTGATAAAGCACTGAGTTTTTCCTTATTTTCATGTTCTATCATTGACTCAAATGAAGTTTCAGTGAGATTTTCTTTCACAAGAATCACAGCTTCATCTTGTTTTTGTGGAACGTCAGGTATTGAATCATCACTAAATAAATCAACTGGTTCAGAATCAGGTGAGGAATCTTCAACTAGCTCAGAATGATCAGGCAGTGGCTGTTCAACTTTTGCCATTTCTGAATAACTAGAGAAATCTGGAGTTGGTTCAGCAGAAAGCTTTGTTTCTTTAATTAAATCACATGCAATAGATATATAAGGAGCTTCTGTTTCTTGAACAGCTGCCTTAATACTTTCAGGCTCTTTAATTTCTTCCTTTATTCCTGATATTTTTTTTAGTGACACATTCATGGCCTCTTCATATGGTGGGGGATTTTCAGGCTCAT